GCTCGTCGTCTGCGTTGAAGTGGAACATTCGCGGAATATTTTTTCCCACGCAGTACCAATCAGCGATGACATACATTTTCAAATGCCATGTGATATGTATGCCATTTTGAAATAGTTTATGTTTGGTCATTGGGCGGCACATATTATTCCTGTTAAAACATTCGTTCGCCAGTGTTACCATGTTCGTCGTCCGGGATGATTTTATGTGGTGCTAGACTTATTCTTCGAAGTGAAACAATCGTTCGTCTGCGTTACCATGTTCGTCGTCTGCTCGGTGTTTTTGTTCGTCGACATAAATGTTCCAATTCTGCGTTCAGCTTAACACGTTCAATTTCACGAACATTATTTTTGGGGGAACATTTTTGGTCGTCCTTTTGAACCCACAGACGGCGAACAAATTGATCGGAACTGTGTTTTCATGAATGATTGGCTGAATTGCTCCATCGTGTGCGTTCGGCTTAACGGAACACAGGTTTTTATAGGAAGCAATCACTATAGTCTGTAAGCACGACGTTTCGACAAGTATTCTCTCTTATCGTTATCATTGTACTTGATAACGATAGGAGGATACGTGAAGAAACGTCGTGCTTTTAAAATAAATTATTGATTGTTTCGCTTAAAAATTGTATTCTTTTAATGTGTTTTATAATCGCTAAATGCCACTTAAAAATTATGTTCAGTTTTATTGCATTTTGATTTGGAAACCCCTGTTAAAATTCCGCTTCCTATTTCTTGGGGGAAAATAATTTAAAAACAAAACATACTTGGCACTCACATTATTTCTAGAAAATGCACCAAAATATAACTAAAAGAGGGGCCACAGTGGACCAGTGAGTGCATGTAAGACGCTGGCTGGCTAACATTGGAGGTTTCGGTTTCGATCCAAGTGTTGGCCGAGAAAATTCCTCTGGCTTTTCTGACGCGCATCCCCTTGTCAGTGGTATAGTACGGAGGGTCTGGCAAGGGTAGTGTCTAGTCGTTCGGATAGGAAGATAATGTGCACGTAAAATAACCCTTGGCAGTTTGAATTTGCAATGTCTGGGCAAAATTTTCCTCGTACCACACTATATGGCGTGTGCCTGTCTTCATTAGACCTATCGATGGAGAAAAGTAGGTCGTTATAGGCCATTCTATTCCACTAACAGACAGCAGATAATACAAATGACAATAAATTGCAAACAATATATCTTTAACAGCTGTCATGATATTAGTGTTACAAATAGATGTAATTTTAAATAAGAGATTTTAAATCATTTAAATGATCGTTGAATTCCAATTTTTAAGGAGCAATAGATATCAATGGGGTTTAACGTCCACTCAATACAAAATAAGTCATTTTAGGACTAACATATCTTTAAGTAATTTGCTTGTGCGTAGGGGCCCTTAACACGTGTTAGACCACCCCACCCAACCAAATATTCGAATGAATGCTTATTATGTATTTTTTAAGTGAAAAGATCAGCTGAACAGACAATAAATTAAATCACTCTTAGGACTTTCTGTATAGTCCCATCTGAACAATAACAAATTGTCCTAGGGTAACTTTTTTTTTTTTACTTTATTTTGTTTTTCAGAAACATATCTATATAGCACGATTGAACACCGTATTGTCGTGGTAATTGGGGCACTCTAAATATATATTTAAAATGTTTATTATTTTGGTTCCAGGTATTATGTTATCAAATTGTGTATTGTTGGTAATCTCCTGTGATATTTATTCCGCTTCCATTTAATAAAATCAAAAATATTTACTTAGTCTTTGTGTGCATTGAACATGTCAAACAGATCAGAACCGGATAACAGAATAGTATATTAATTTCTAATATGGCGGCCGTTCAGGGGAGATGTTAGTCGTTAGATAGTCAGCGTGCAGAATGGACATTATCTTCTGTTACTTTATTAAAATGTTTATAGGTTTCTACAGAATACAGCCACACAATGCTCCAAACTTCATATTTACTAAATACGTATATTTTCGTACTATTTTGCGGCTCAGAGTATTGAAGTTTGAAGTTATTGGCTTATTGGGTGGTTTTGGGTGTTATTTGGGTAATTCGACGTGCGGTTCATGGTTTCTGGTAAATTCCGGCCTTGTCGTGTGTGGCGTCAGTCAGGCTTCAAAGGAAACTGTGCATAGTTTTCTGATGAGACGACAAACCGAGGTACACGCATGGACACAATGGCTTGCACTTAAAAGAAGGCTTTACAATTGGAAATCGAAGTAGAGTAGACGAAAAGCCGCAGTCCCGACAAACTGTTTCTATCTCGCATATTGCACACATATGGGTCGCCATTTGTAAATTAATTATTTAGCTTTTTATATAGCATAAAACACTAGATTTAATTTAAATTTATATATATAGTTAAATCTCGACTTTTGTGCAAATTTTTCACTTTTAATATTTAAACTAAAAATACAACAAAAACTCAATATTTAACATAATATATATAAATATTTCTTGATTTGTCTCTATTTTCATATTTAACATTTAGCATTGAATATTAAAACCAAAACAAGAGATTTGATGATATATAAATATTTAGCTAAATATTTAGTTAAATGTTTAAACATTTAGCTAAATATATATTTAGTTAAATGTTAAAATATTTAGTTAAACATTTATATATTTAGCTAAATAACTATAATATATATTCAGCTAAATAATATATATTTAGCTAAATATTTATATATTTAACTAAATAATTATATATTTAACTAAATAATTATATATTTAACTAAATAATTATATATTTAGCTAAACATATAGTTAAATTTACAAAGCGCAACCGTACCACGCCGTTTGTAAAATAATTATTGTTGTAAGCGACTTCACACTAAACGATGACGTAGTGTACAACTTTCCATTGACTGCACCTTGCCTTGATCTGTGCGAACGGCACGGAGTACCGCGGCCGTGATTCGGGTTACAAGTTCGTGGTCAGCTTCCATTTCTAATTGCTAGTAGGCCTATTGTGCCAAGGCTCACGTGTCGGGTACACGTCATCATTTTATGCGCAGTTTTTTGTGTCGCTTACGATAATAGAAATATTGGCGGGACCACAAATATATATTTAGTTTAATATTTATACATTAGCTAAACATATATATTTAGTATGATATTTATATATTTAGTTAAATGTTTATTTATTTAGTTAAATGTTTATATATTTAGCTAAATGTTTATATATTTAGCTAAATGTTTATATATTTAGCTAAATGTTTATATATTTAGCTAAATGTTTATATATTTAGCTAAATATTTAACTTTAGATTTTTCAGTGATTTAGTATTTAGCATTTATACCTACGAAAAACAGCACATTTAGCTATATATTTAACTAAGCGATGTGAAATCAAGATATAACATTTAAAGTTTTTTATAGACCAAAAACTCGACTTTTAGCTACAATATTTTTTTATATTTACATATATTTCATTTTTGTTCTAATATTTATCTAAATATATATATTCGTAGTTAAATCTAATGTTTTTTGCTATAAAAAAATTAAATAATTATTTTACAAACGGCGCCCCATACACACAACCACAAAAGTAAAAATTAACATATGCTTGTGACGTGACGTGATCTTGAACCCGAAATCTCAAATTACTACACCAAATTTCAAGAGTAAACATCTTCAGGCGGTAACCAAAATTCTTAGTTAATGCCCAATCAAAAAGAAAACGATTGTCCAATTACTAAACATAAACATTCTGGTTAGATTGCAAACTAAAATGCACAAATAAAGATTCTCTTCAACTGAAGATGATATGTGACAGCATCACCACGATACTGTTATTAAAGGGACAGTATGGGAGATGAGATAAGGAGTTGACAATTCTCGCTATAATAGTTAAAAATTAGATAATGTAAATAGAGTGTGCTAAAAATTTCAGTCAATTTGATCCACTCTGAACCGATATATTAGCTTTTGAATTGTAGGCTAGCCTAGATATTATTACGAAAGGCCGTACGATAAAAAACAAAGTCTCAAAGTTCCATTTTACGTTTAATCATCCTTCACAAAATGTATTTCAATCCGCTAAATATCGCAGGCTATCAATGGCATCAAGAACTGATTATGGTCTAGAAAAATAATGTCTAATTAATAATTTAGATAACATTTCAGGCCTAAGGAAAGAGTTGTAATAGACAGATTTAGCCCTTGCATAACATATGTTTAAGTGCAAGTCTTTCCAGGTTCAATGTATCCAGAACTCCTGAGGATTTGGAACACGGACCCAGGATCCTTGGTACTCAAGCTCGTGGAGGTACAGGTGCCATTAATCAATTACAAGGCCAAAGTTATGAAACAACATATTATGTGGTTTCGTCCGTTTGCCAGTTTAAACACATGATTAAAATAACCCGTGATTGTTTTCCACATACATGTATATTGTGCTCTATCGCTAAAGGTCACTCAAGGTTTATATGACAAGAAGCCCCCTTAGAATACATGCATCCGTAAAGACAGTATTGTCTATGTCCAGTATTGATGTCGACCTCCGTGTAATGCATACCATTAGTATAGAGAATAATCAAGGTACACAGATCGTTGTCGTAACAGATTTTAAATAATCGCAAGTCTGAGGTGTCATATAAACAAGGTGTGGTACAGACAAGGAGTTCCCTAATTTAAGATTAATACATGTGACATTTTCAGAATTTAAATTATAAAAAAAATCCAGCTTGTAAGCCATATGTTTTCAATACATACAATATATAAGTACTTTTGACTCAATTATGATCTCATCGGAAATTTATTAGAAAAAATGCCCTATGGGTTCCTGGTGGATTAACAAAGGCCCCAATAACATTTCAAAGGCGCGTGGATATTCACTCGGTTGTTTACAATGTGCGTTAATGTCAGTTTGTTTAAGAGCATACTGATAGGCTTGATACTGTGCGTACAATCCGATTTTTTGTGTCTTCAAATGTGGTGGTAAAGCCAGCAAAGAATCTTTACAACTCTTGGATAAAGTTAAACAAAAGACAAGTGTCATAAATGAATGTTATTTTATTGAGAAAAGAAACCCCAACATACTTTATAATAAATAATATATCCATTCAGTACCTTGAAAGACAGTATTCGTCTGACTCAGCATTCGTTTGACTCATCTGGCTTTACCCATGTTATGGAGTCCAGGTTTTCTCGCATATAACTTTTGATAGTTACATCTTAAAAACACAACCACCTTATTAGAGATTGATGGAAGGTAATGCAATTTTCAGTGATTTATTAATGGGCGAGGCTGAGCTGAATTTAAGCAGAATGGTTCTGAACAAAGTTTGCAAAGCGGACATATTGCTTGTCCAGCTGATATGTCAGACATATTACACGAATTGCCATCGTTAAATTCAACAGCATCTGCCTAATTAATGAATGGACATGAGTGTAGTGTTGACACATCTGAATATTCAAATAGTATTTAATGCTTTTCAAACTCATTTGTTGGTATGAAAATACCAATGTGACATCATCCTGAGATGTTGGCTACCATTATTTGAAATAATGGTACGGTGAGATATTGGACTGTGTTACAATTTCATTGAAATACAGGGCAGGGTTGTATGTTTATTTTAGGTAGTTTAATTGTCTCCAGCAAGATATTGCATAATATATTGATACAACACTTGCTCTTGGCCAACACATAAAACTAATCAAAATTTATCAGTTTTTTAGTCTCTAATTAATTAATATATCAATTCAACTAATTTTAAGTAATATTGAAATATAATAACCTGATATCCGATATTCAAATAGTATTGAATGCAATAGACATTAAATAATAATATAATATAATGTAATGTGATATGTTAGTATGATTATCAGACATTTTAAGGCATTTTATGGTCATACAAAAATATATATAGGAGATTACCAACAATACACAATTTAATAACAGGACACCTGAAGCAAAAATAATAAAATGTTAAATATATACTAATCTAGAGTGTTTTCATTACCACAACAATACAGTGTTCAGTGGTGCTATATAGATATGCTTCTCAAAAAAAAAAAGAAAAAAACGTAAAACAGAAAACTTAACCTAGGTTATTTGTTCGGATGGGACTAAAACAGAAAGTCACTAAAATGATTCCTTAGCGATTGGAACTCAAAGACAACCATTATAACAATTTAATGGGACTAAAATAGAAAGTCCCTAAAAAGATTTCTTAGCAATTGGAACTCAAAGACAACCTTTACAACAATTTTAAGGGCACCACAGAAACGGTGTAAAGTTACTGCAAAAGTCTATTTAATTATCTTACATTACAAATCAACACATAAAATACAATGAAATAAACAGAAATCAAAGAGATTGTGTCATTTTATTCAGCTTTCCTCCATTATATTTTACTGGCATTAATGTATTGTTTTACACTGAATTGCATAATAGTCACCAACAGAAATACTTTTCAAGAAAAATATAAATAATATTATAATAACTATGCATATATGAAAGTATAAAATAAAATTCATTTCATGAATTATTCAATATTCCAACAGTTTTCTAAAGAATGAAGATATGTGTAAAATAATATATATAATAGTTGTCAAATAATGCCATACAATAAATATTTGTAACAAGTTGAGAACAATAAAGTGGTATATAAATAGTAAAATATTATAAATCTGTACAAAAATAGGTGTCTAGGACCATGTGCCAAAAATATCAGTATATTGTCAGTGTATTATATTATATTATTTACCTCATATTCACAAAATATTTATTTTTTAAAAATATGACAATTTTTAGCATTATTTAAATTTATTAATACATAATTGAGGGATTTTACACAACATCACAGGATTCAAATTTGTACTGATTCATAAAGATGGTCAATTTTAGGTAATATACATGCATAATAAAAAATCTATCAAATATATACACATTATTTTACCGGTACACACATCATAATATACATGAAATTATTGAATACTTTTATTACAGATTTTGAAGTATTATGATTATCAAATTTTGCTGTTTATTTTGGTCATGATGTTATTGTCAAACAGGGGTATCAGAAATTTTAACATGAATAAAATGATTCAATATTTCATATCTGAGATCATAAAAACAATGCAAATTGGGTGAAACAATCAGATAACATCATTATACACATTGACAGTCTCATTCATAGTGTTTGCAATTTTCTCTCTCATTTGTATTGTAAGCCATGTCTTTTAGTTTTATTTTGCTATATAGTCTATACGCGAGTGCTAAGCTGATGTATTGTACAGATTAGACTTGGTATTAAGGTGTTAATTAAGGTGAAAATGTTAATAGAATAAAGTTGAAGCACACTAACAAATCTAAATTCGGCTTTATATCTACTATAACTAATGGCTATTGAGATTTCTATTCACTGGTATTATTATTCACATTAGTCGGATTAGGACCATGGAATTGGGTGTAAGCCTTCTTCCATAAACCACCAGATCTCTTCAAGGATCTGAAAAAATTACATTAAGATTAAATTAGACAAATGTGCTTCTAAGCAGGAGTAAATCTACATACTACATATAGCTGGGAAATGTTTATGGAATATATGGCTGAGTGGAGCACCACTGGGATTTAAAGATGCTTTTTGTCAGTTCTGACAGTTCTTGCTATAATAGTTAAAAAAAATAGATAATGAAAAGGCAATATGTTGAAAATTTCAGTCAAATTACTTCATTGTAAGCGGATTTATAACCGTTTGAAGAACAGTATAGTCTTGATGGTCATTGCTACATTTGTTACCATAATAAACAAAGTATAGTTTATCCATTTTTTAATTAAATTATTAACTATCATGTTTAAATCAGTTGATGATCTAAACCATCTGATGGCTTGAGAGTTGATTATGGGCTTAGTATGCGAATAAATGTCTATTCAATGTAACATTTAAGACAAAAAGAAAGATCTGCATTAGGCAGATTTAGCTCTTGACTAATGCATCTTTAAACATAATATATCCTACTCCTTCCCTTTAATACAAGCAGTCTTTTAGCTTAATAATGCCAGCATAAGGATTTTAATTCAGACAATGCACAAAAAGTACTCTTTAATAATAAACATTTTGGATCAAAATTATTAAATTCTAATCAAAGTTATGGTCAATTTATGGTGCACGTAAAAGATCCCTTTGCATTTGGATTTTGATATAAGAGTAGGCCTTAGCGCCACTGTTCGGGCAAAATTTCCCTCATAGCACACTGTATAGCATATGCCCCCCTTCGTTAGCCCAGTCTGAGCAGAACAGTAGGATGTTAAACCCCATTACATTTCATTTACGCAGGTTTGTCTTCCAGGTTTAAATATGTGTGGCATGGTTCTTCTGCAGTTACTGTAAAAGACTATATGTATACTTACTTGAGAATATCTGTGAAAGATTGAAACAATGGCTTCACTTGATAACTGAGATTATGTTTCTCACATAAAGACTTGACAATAGGGGCTATCTTATACAAGTTATGGCGTGGCATAGTCGGAAACAAACTGAAAGGCAAATAACAAACCTGTAGCTGAATATATATATATACATATATAATGGTTCTATTTATTAGTGGATAGTGCAGTACACAATAACCCAATCCTAAAATCCAACAACCAATAAATCCAGTAGGACAAGTTGAAGGACACCACAGACAAAAAAGGGTAAAGTTTCTTTAATCAAAATTTGACAAAATTTCCATCAAGGGTTGTCCACTTTATAAAAAGATTACACATTATTATTAACAACCAATTAAAATTTGGTATATAATCATTTCAAATAGAAGGTGAAGATTATTTTTCTTCTCAACCAATAGTAACAGAATCTTCAATGTGAAAAATATAAGCTGTAATGATTAAGACTACCTATTGTCTTTTGAATTAATCTATTGTGAAAACAGGTTTTTTTTATTTTTGATTTTAGGCTTGCCATGAAAAAATGGTACCCAATAAAACTTACTGATGTTCTATTTGAAAATCTAGATGTCCTGTAAACCAGTCGTTAAAGAAAGATGGCTGAACATTACAGGTAGCATTTAGTTGTAGACGTAACCATGGTTTTGCATCATCTTCTTCTATTTTCATAGGTATATGATTAGATTGACTAACCCAGGTAAACCAGCTACTTTCAAACACTCTATAAATATAGCAATACATACAGGTGCTATGAAATAAAATATAAAAGAAATTGTTGTAAATTGTTCTTAAACAAGTTTTTTTTAAGCAATTGAGGTATTTATGGCTTCCCCAAAAACATAAAGCTCATTCTTTGCACCTAACCATGTTTTTACTCTTTAAGTACATCTTTATTTTTTAAAAAAATCTGTCGATTTTTCTAGAATACTGCATTCTTAAAAAAAAATTTTTTTTCAATTCAATGACCTACCTCATTACAACTTGAAAGGCAACGGCAGTTCCAAATCCCAGTACTGATCCATACAGATAAAAAAATCTACTCCAATAACAAACAGTGAAGAAAAAATCCTGAAATATGTGTAAAAAAGCTTATTTCTTAATTAAAGATACATTATGGGAGATAAGATAAAGAGATGGCAGTTCTCGCTATAATAGTTAAAAACTAGATAATGTAAAGGTAATTTGCTGAAAATTTCAGTCAAATTGATCCACTATGAGTTGAGAAAGAAGTGGGTGAAATTTTTGCATAGTCTCAGTCATCATTACTAAAATCATTAAAATAAACAGCATAGTCTCGATTATCCACTTTTATTGATTTAATTATCAATAGCCGTTAGCGGCATATAGGAATCTAATCCAGCCAACATCGAAGGCTAGCCTTGACACTGAGAGTTTATTATGGTCTGGATAAGTTAATTAATGTCTAATTGATAATTTAGATAACATTTCAGGCCTAAAGAAAGACTTGTAATAAGCAGATTTTGCTCTTGTATATTGCATGTTTAATCTGCAAGAAGGAGGGAATACAACAATCTTTCAATTAATTTTATTAGCAGATTTGTTATAGGCTTAGTAAACATAATTAATCAGACTGGTCCCAGAGCAGAACCTTGTGGTACACCACATAACCTAGAAATTTTACAGAAGTTTATATTTACTGTTTGAAATGACTGTTTGTTAGATACGAAAACAGTACTACACAAGACCGTTGCTTCCCAGAGTTTTGCTAAATGAAACATTGATATCTAAGGTATGGAAGGTGGCTGAGTTACACATTTTTTATTATCAAAGACAATAAATATTAATTGCTATTTTGATTTAAGTATTTGCAGTAATGTGAAATTGCATGTAAGCTGATGGTGACTTGTTGTTTTGAAATGTAGCTGAGATTCCTCTTGGTCAAGAAATTTTTAAAATATTGTTTTACTGCAGTTTTTAAAAGATATCCTAAATTCTACGACAGCTATTCTTACCAAGTATTCTCGTCGTGTAAATATGTGACGATTCAGTGCATAGAGAAAATAAACTGGAAACAAAAATGGTGGACCAACTGAAAGTAAATAAAAAGAATATGTCAATGAAAAGATAGGGCAGAAAAAAAATGGAGTTTAATTTCCATTCAATACAAACTATGTTGTTTCGGGACTAATGAAAAAATATGAGGGAATCTAATATTCACTGAAATTAAGCCAGATTCAATTAGACATGGCAAGGTTTGGGGGCGTTTGGAAAAGTGGACAATGAAATATTTATGAAACATTTTCTTTTTATTTCGCTGGAACAATAATAGTTTATCCTATCATCTTGTAAGATGTGGGGAAAATATATTCTAGAAAAAAAAAAATCTGTGGTGTTTTTCACCACAAGATTTCCTCAAGATATTGAACTTAGAGAAAAAAAAATCATTTTTTTTTCCAAAAATTTCTTCTCAGACCTCCCTATATACATACCTGTGTGGTACCACATTCCACAAGATTTTCGACTTAGAATAATTTTGATAGAGTGTTTGGGGTCTGTGGTGTTTTTACCACAAGAGTTTCACAAAAGTTCCACAAGATATTGGACTTAGAAAAAACATCAATTTTTTCAAATTTTTTAGCTCATACCTCCCTATGTGCCTGTGTGGTACCACATTCCACAAAATTTTCGACTTAGAATAATTTTGATAGAGTGTTTTGGGTCTGTGGTGTTTTTCGCCACAAGAGTTCCACAAGATATTGTACTTAGAAAAAATATCAATGTTTTCAAAAAGTCCAAAATCTTGTGGAACTCTTGTGGTGAAAAACACCACAGACCAAAAACACTAATTAAGTCGAAATTTTGTGGAATGTGGTACCACACAGGCACATGGGGAGGTCTGAGAAGAAATTTTTGAAAAAATTGATATTTTTCTAAGTCCAATATCTTGTGGAACTCTTGTGGCGAAAAACACCACAGACCAAAAACACTCTATCAAAATTATTCTGAGTCGAAACTTTTGTGGAATGTGATACCACACAGGCATATAGGGAGGTATGAGCTAAAAATTTTGAAAAACACTCTATGAATATTATTCTAAGTCGAAAGTCTTGTGGAATGTATTTATTTTCAGAAACCCAGTATCTTGTGGAACTCTTGTGGTGAAAAGTTCCATACAAATGCCCCCAAACCTTGCCATAGATGGATTCAATTAGAGAGAGAGAGATGGGGTTTAATGTTCACTCATCACAAAATATGTCATTTTGGAACTAGCATGCAATTCAATTCTATTTCACTAATTAAATTCTACTCTAGCAGTGGGAGTGGAAGGAATCCCACGTGTTTGGACAGTCGATCCCTACTCCCTTCAAAATATAAGCTTGGCTCAAAACCACACCACTTAACTCAATGATAGACCTTATGATCTAAAGTTCATGCATTAGACTACTGGACCCCCCCCCCCCCTCTTCCACCCATTACCATTTAATCAACCTGTTTTAATCATTAACATATATTATATGGCCTTTCTTTTTCAGATAAAAGCAATTCAATAAATATGTCCAATTACTTACTAATAGGAAAATAACGATGTTGCCAATCATAAGGCATACTATTTTTCTTCTTTTCTGCTATCTAAATTGTAATATTAAAACACAGTTTGAGATCCTGATAATAGTTATGTATTCAAAATTCAGAAAGAATTTTTTTATAAGTGTTGGTCAATCTTCGGGTACATAATGGGAGTCGATATTAACACATTGAACATGATAGAGAGCTGAAGACAAACTAAATTGTTATGTGATTTTATTCAGGCAAGCAGACAAGATTATAATTAATTTGAAACAGCTTCTTGAAAATTACCTACATTTATAATTACAAATGTTATACTAAAATACCTGAGCTGGCATAACATCACCAACAACAAATAAAGCATCTAATCTTGTATCAGGATCTTTATTTAACTGAAAATAAACACATTTAATAGTAAGTGCAGGGGGACCACACCACACACACACAATTACACATATCAGATCAAACGAATGGATCCATGGGCCAGCTGTAAGCATCAACTGAGTAGTAAAGTCCCAGGCCTGTAGTGATACAGACTTCACTCAAAATTAAAAACACTTTTCTACTTTATAGTGTCATATTTCACTGTGTTGTCACTCATCTCTTTTCCTGATAGTAACATGGAAACACTTTTCTACTTTATAATGTCATATTTCACTGCGTTGTCACTCATCTCTTTTCCTGATAGTAACATGGATAGGGAGGATTCCTCTATACTTTTTGTTAAATAAGCGGTTGGTTTTTGCTCTAACAGACTGGGTGAAGCTTAACCATGCAATAACAAGACATTTTTGCTAGTTTACAACTTTGGCAAAATTCAAATAACGAAGTAGGGTGGGTTTTCTGTGCGATAACAACAGGCATGGACAGTTTTATTGACAAGACTACTCTATTCACGACAAGGGGGGGGGGGGGGGAGAGAAATGGGCTTTAGAGCCCAGTTGATACAAACTAGGTCATTTCGGGACTAACATATGGTTCAATTTTGTTTAATTAATTCACTTGCACATAGGGGTCTTTAGCAGTGGGAGGAAACCGGAGTACCCGGAGAAAACCCACAAGGTTGGACAGGCGACCCTACTCCTTGTCTCTTACAACCGGGGATTCGAAATCACGGCAGTTGAGTCAATGACAGGCCTTCTAATTAATTTGTAATGCTCTGCTGAATAACAATGGTACTACCTGTAATTAAAATGCCAACTAAAATGACAAAAAGATTTATTGTACTACTGAATAACAATTAGTTTGAACATAATACAATAATACAATAATTACCACATTAGGTTTAGCATGATGTTGAAAATGCATATGGTTCCACCATTTGGCTGAAGCACCCTGAAAGATAAAAATAAAATTAAGTTCAATTAAATAGGTAATAAACTGACTGATTGACAATTTTAATTGTGAACTGAGAACGAGAATTTTCCAGTGATATAAGTTTTTAATTAACCATCAAATAGAAATCTATAAAATATTATAAAAAAAAGCACTTTTATTATTGTTTGTCTCGCAAAAGTATTGTTTACATTGTATTCGTTTTGATAGCCTCGTTTGTCACGCAATTAGTTTTTCTGCAGTATTCTTCTATGCATTGGTTAATAGGGCGTAATAAAATCATGAGTCATTACTTAACGTTTTGTAAACATATTTGGTCCAATTTGGAGCTCCTTTTAAAGCCTAATGATATTGCTACGCAGTTAGCTATTGGTTGTTAATCGAACTATTGACCAGTCAGAACAGAAATTTACTTCCATTACAGCAGTGTTATGTGGGATTAGCTCTAATCAAACGAAACACTGCGAGGAGTATAAATGATCATTTAAAATTCATCTCAAAATATCTATAAACTTTTGTCACTTATAACTAACATGAAGCTTGTAAGCTTTTTCTATCTTGAGTTAAGAGGACACCTGGTTTGATTGTATTCTCCAGTAGTAACTTTCTCGTACTTCATAATTCTTACCTTCATAAAACCCATACAGATTCTCTCCATAAAATCATCAATTTTATATTTGGTACCAAAAACAGAGGTATGACCAAAATCATGTGCTAAATATGCCGATTGTATCTGTAAAGGAAATTATTTATGTACATTTATTTTTTAACAATATTATATTGTGAATACTGATGATATTTGAAGACAGTAGCACCAGATCATTTAACTAATCATAATGCAAAGCAGTGACGGTTCCAGAAGGGACAGGAGTCATTTCCCCCCCCCCCCCCCCGACAGTCATGTTTCATGACAATGTGGACCTTGGATCTAAATGATATAATACCTCTTCTGGCCAGGCGGCATCTCTTAGTGAGTCCGCACAATTTACACACTAAGTCATCAACCAAATGACTGACACTGGGCTTTTTAAAAAGTTATAAAGTGACGAGAATTTCAACCAACCTGAACTATAACTGTAAATATTAGTGATGTAAGTAGAGGCAGCCATCCAGTACCAAAATATCGTAAAACAAAATAAGCCAGAACATCTAACACAACAACATGGAGTAAATTTAACGTATAAAAGGTATAACTTGGTTTAAACATTCCCTGAAATACACAAAAAATAAGTAATACATTATTTACAAAATAGAATAATTCATAAGACTTCTACATAATAAATGAAATAGGGTTTAACATCCTCCTGTTCTGCTCCGTCTATGCTAATTAAGACGGACATCCACCAAACAGTGGGCTATGAGGGAAATTTTGAATGGACAGCGGTGCTAAGACTTACTCTAATATCCAAGGGATCTTTTAGGTGCACGTCAATGGGTACACAGCTTCTACATAAACATAAGAAGCAATATTTCATACCTATGGTACCGTAATTCAAAGCAGTTACAGTCAAATGACTTCATTCTGAGGGACATTAGGGCTGTTTGGACTTTGGAGAATAGTCTCAATTGTCATTGTTGCCGCTGCTATGATATTAAAGTAACAAAGTCTCAATTATCCATTTTTCAATTAAATCATTAACCACTAATTGTGTTTAAATCTGTTGAAAATCAAAAGCATCTGATGTCATAGAGAGTTCATTATGTGTGTCTTGTCAAGTTAATAAATGTCTAATTAATAGTATATAACATTTAAGACCTAAAGAAAGAAAGACCTGCCAGATGTCTGTTTGTATACTGGAAATAAAAGTGGAAATAATGTTGTATATATATTTACCATTTTATTAACAGTTTCCCTGAGATTCTGGAAGTCTGTATCAATAGCTGCTGTTTTTATATTACTGGCCTGTACAGGACCTTTATGTATAATTTTTAAATATTTCTTGGGTATACTTATATCACTATGGAATGCATGAAAGGCATGCTGAAAATAATAATATAATAATTATTATATAGTCTATTACACAAATATAAGATAATACTAAACTACAAGTAAACCAGTTCTGTAAATCAGAGAAAGCTCTTACAATTAACTAATTATTGTCAACAAGAGAAAGAGATGGTATTTAAACTTGTTGATATAAGAACTTGGTTCCTGAACTTCGCTTCAGTGCAGAGAGTCTAGAGAGAGAGAGATAGAGAGAGAGAGAGAGAGAGAGATGGGGTTTAACATCCACTTGGCACAAACTAGGTCATTTTGGGCCTAACATATGGTTCAATTTTATTTCCAAAATTCGCTTGTATGTCGGGGTCTTTAGCAGTGGGAGGAAACAGGAGAACCAAGAGATTTTATGATACAGCGCGCACGTGCTAACCATTCAGCCATCCAACCCCCCAAGAGTCTTTAGGAAACGAAAGAAACAGGGGAAAACCCAAGAGGTTAGAATCGCAATAATATTCCTTGTCACATATGGACTTTTGTGATTGTCTGTAACCGTCTACTTGACTTGATGACAGACTTTATTAACTAAAGAGCGCTTGTTAAAGCATTTGGCCAACATAAACCCCCTGTCTTAAAAAGGGGGAAAAAAATTGCAAGTCAACTTACTGTGGCATCTTGTCCAGCATAATGGCTGATAACTTTACTTCCACCAGGGTGACGTTTGGACCATTCTGTGATGTCATAAACTTCATTATCAATAACAATCCATTTATCATGACGTTTATCATGTTGTGTAATTTCCTGCCATGTATGTTGTTTTACAGAATCATTCCCTCCATTACTCGACGTATTCTGATTTCCTTTTCCCATTTCTCACTCTGAAAATATAACATGATAAATAACCAAATTTTATTCAAAATTTCAAGGAAATATTTTTCTGAATTCAAATAACTTCAAATACATGTATATTGAAAGCAAAATTTAAGGAATGTGGTAATCTTATTCCATGAAAATACTCACACCAGCGGCTGCCAGGCAGGATACGCCCACATTTTCGAGAGATCGATAGAGAACAAGCTAAAAAGAAAGTGATTTTTCCTACAATCAAGGGCCATAATTCAGCCGTCTTTAGAGTGTAACGGTGATATAATAATACGTTTTTTTAAATCGGATAAAAATTATGACCTCTATAGGGTCCACAAGCTAAAAACGCGATTTTTCGTAGAATCAGGGGCCATAATTCAGGAAGTTATGGCCCGATATGCACAAATATCGAAATGAACCGAGATCTTTGGGTTATAAGCTTATATTTCAATTTTCAACAAAATCAGATAAAAATTGTGACCTCTACAGGGTCCACAACCTTGATATACCATATTTTTATGCTATTTGAGAACGAACGGCGGCCATTTTGTCTGTCAATTTTGGGCCGATTTTCACGAAATTCGAACTCAGCCGTCCTTAGGGTGTAACGGTGATATAATAATATGTTTTTTCAAATCGGAAAAAAATTATGACCTCTATAGGGTCCACAAGCTAAAAATGCGATTTTTCGTACAATCAGGGGCCATAATTCAAGAAGTTAGGGTCCGATATGTGCAAATATCGAAAGGAACCGAGATCTTTGGGTTATAAACTTACATTTCAAGTTTCAACAAAATCGGATAAAAATTCTGACCTCTATAGGGTCCACAAGCTAAAAACATGATTTTATCGTACAATCAGGGGCCATAATCCATGAAGTTTTGATCCGATACATGCCAATATCGAAAGCAGCCGAGATCTTTTTGGGATAAACCTATATTTCAAGTTTCGTCAAAATCGGATAGGAATTGTGACCTGTAGAAAGTCCACAAACAATTGTGGACGGACAGACGGACAGGGGCGACGGCATAATACGTCCACATGAAAATGTGGCCGTATAACAAAGTAGCTCTTAATGAAAAGGCTGTGCCAGATATGATAGCTTTAAACGAAATGAAATCTGATAACAATACAGATCTATATTTCGTTTTGTTTTTTATACTTTCGATGGCCTACACTACTTGTACATGAAGATCTGACAAGTTATAATGGAAGTTCACGTCAGGGGTCAAATGAGCGGCTTTTGACCCTATGATGTCAGACATTGATTAATCAATCAGCGTTGTCGTTTCAAGTGGTTTATCCACAGTTCCGTGCATAAAAAGGTCAAGAACTTGCCGTAACAGACCGTTTCATTGGCTAATTCCTCACATCAAGTAGAACGCCTGTATAACAAGTCTTCCAGATCCTAGTGTAGTAGGCTAAAGACAAGTAAAACAAAATTTTGAACTATAAAAAGCGAAATAGGATCTGTGTTTTAAATAAATTGAATGAAATGAGATTTAACGCCCCACTTTTCTGCACCAAGCAAGCTAAACAAGACAGGTATAACGCACCAGGTTATTGTATTATTGTACTTCGGTTTCTATTCCATCCGAAGGACTATAGTCGAGACCCCACTTCCATGCCACTGTCAAACCCTGCCATACCCACTGACTCTCACAGTACTGGTATATAGAATGTGGGGATTTTGTCTGGGTACCAGTACACCCATGACAAGAAAATCTAAAATCTATCACCTTTCTTTGCCAATGCCTACATGTACTTAATGAACCTGCTTTAAATCTGCTCCAGAACTTTTAGATGTTATATTTGTTATATAATTATAAATATTATTTTGTACATGATTCTCAGGTTCATTCAAATTTTAATTGCTTATGAATATTTTATATACCTGATACATGTATACCAGCTGGTATTCAATGAAGCAAACAAAAATTAATTTAATGATAATCAAATGAAATACATGTAGTATACATGTAGCCAGGTATGGTAATAACCACTAGTTTTACCTGACAAAATGTACCAGACATGTACATGTAATTAAAGGGCATATGGCTATATTAGTTGGAACCTTAATTAAAATAGATCAAAACTGGTTGAAAAGCACAATATATTAATGTAATATGAGTGTACTGTATACATGTATACAGTCATTTATATTCAATTTGATTTTTAAAAAAAATTATTGTAATTTCAAATTTATTATGTACTGCGAAATGATGAACAGTCCAAATTGAATGACAGTTGTTTACTCTTACTTTGTCCATTCTACAAGTTTTTTATTATTATTTTGTAGTCTGTCAGACTGGATGAACATTCTTCCTGACATTTTAAATTTTCGGTCGAACATAATATTATGACAGTTGGATTGGCATAATGTCTATCAAGATCTATTCTGTTGACTAATGGCAATGGGTACATATATCTAAGCTGTTTAAGCTTATTTAAATGGGATTATAACTGCTGTTATATCTAACACCTTGTACAATGACTCAACTTCATAACATTGTTACCTACATGTACATGTACCTACATGTATATCATTAACAGTGTAGACTGTTGACCTTATCGCATGAGTAGACAATGTATGGTTTTGATATTAATAAAATATGACAAGCACAGTTGTCAATACAAAATTTGTTTTTCAACTTTTATGTTCTGTTTGATAATCTAAACCATGCAATGGAACAGTATGTCTTCACCACTGTTCTAACAGCCAACTGCATGTTACAATGTACCTGGAATTAAAAGCGCCTGTCACAGACATTGTCTGGGACAAATTCACACTTTGTCAAGCTGAGATGAGAGAGAGAGAGAGAGTGAGAGAGAAAGAGAGAGAGAAATGGGGTTTAACTCCACTCGACACAAACTATGTCATTTCGGGACTAACATGTGGTTCAATTTTATTTCCATAATTCGCTTGCGCGTAGGGGTCTTTAGCAGAGTGGGAGGAAACCGGAGGACCCGGAGAAAACCCACGAGGTTGGACAGGTGACTCTACTCCTTGTCACATGCAACCGGGCAATCGAAACCATGCCAGTTGACTCAATGACAGACTATATGATACAGTGCGCGCATGCTAACCATTCGGCCATCCAACCCCCCTGAGATGAGATGAAATGGGGTTTAACATCCTACTGTTCTGCCTTGACTGGGCTAATGAAGACGAGTCTACGCCATTCAGTGTGCCATGAGGAAAATTTTGCCCAGAAAGAGACGCTATGCTACAGCCTACCCTTATATCAAATTACAACTGCCAAGGGATCTTTTATCTGCACGCCAATGTGTATACGAAACCTTGGTTTTTGTCCCATCCAAACGACTATACATTGTCCCTTGCCAGGCCCTCAGTCCTGCACCACTGATGAGGAGGTACCATGTCGGAAAATCCTAATGAACTTTCTCGGCCAACACAGGGATCAAACACAGGACCTCCATGTTAGCAAGTCAATGTCCTACTCAGTAAGCCACTGTGGCTCCCCACGTTGTCAAGCACAACCCCTCTTGTGTTGGTCTGTGAGGCAGTGACATGCCTTTTTTCTGTGTTTTTATTCATAATCCATACATACAAAGTTCAAAATGTCGGGTAGAGCTAGATATTAAACCAAAAGTAAAACTATTATTTCTAGGCTTGTTACTTCCCTTTGTTGAAGTGCCACATGCAAGCTAAAAAAAACTTGTTAAAATTAATCCAGTGTAGCCCAACGTAAATACATCAAGGTTGGTAAAAGAATGCAAAAGGTTGATTAATTACATACATGTATGTGCAACAAGGAAATATGGTCCATATTAATGTTTTAAAAAACATATTTTTGTGTGCATTCAAATTAGCAGACTGAAATTATTATTACTGACTTCAGTATCTAGAGCTAGCATCAGAGGCTGGATTATTCAGTTTAGTTAGAAAGAAATGGGGTTTAACATCCACTCGACACAAACAAGGTAATTTTGGGACTAACATATGGTTCAATTTTATTTCAATAATTCACTTGACACTTGCAATTAGGGGTCTTTAGCAGCAGGAGGAAACCTGAGGACCCAGAGAAAAGCGGGGAATCGAAACCATGCCACTTGACTCAATGACAGACTTTATATGATCCAATGCGCATGCATTAACCATTCGACTACCCAACCCCCCTTTCAGTTCAGTTGTACTTGAATACATGGGTCCATAGATTTACCTAAAACAACCCAAAACTACCTAAAACAACCCAAAATAACTTGTATTTTGGTTAAAACAACACATTTTTTTCTTTCTTTTTATATGCATAAGTCTCTAACTCAATATCATCAAAAATCTTCGACATTGAAAACACGAATTATTTGTCAATTCAAATCAACATTGGTCTTGTCATCTTAACAGGAAAAGATGGGCTTCTGATATCCAATTTTCAAGACAAAATAAACATTTTACCATTGGAACACGAATCGTGTACCATAATGCGTTTCAGTGCCATTTGGAACAAGGGACTCAAAGAACGAGGCTAGACATATTCCACAATTAAGTCATGTCAAACGGTGACGCTATATTCTTATCTGGAGAGCATGCGCAATTATAAATACCATCGGTTTAGACTGGAATAACCAGACGCTAAAAATTGTCATTCAATTGAGACTTCTGGCGTATTTCGCCGAAAATAACTGATTAGAAATTACAGTAAAAATAGAAATGACTGAATGTAAATCAGTTTATATATATATATTCATATAGAGTTAATTCACATGACGTCACACACAGTGGCCGCCGCCATCTTGGTGGACAACCAGACTACACGTGATCCGATAGTTACAATGTGATTGCAGTTGGAATTATGATTGTTGCGCTTATGTCATGTGATTTTTATGTTGAATAAAGATTTTGTCTATGTATTTTAAATTTTATATTTAATTTCTATTAAAATCCAAATTCGACTGTGACATAACGCGTTTATAGCGAACTAGCTGCATCGTGTTTGTGTACCTACATGGATAATGTCTGATGTGGAAAATTATAAGTTAATAGGTTAGTTGCTGACGCGACATTTCGAGACCTACATAAATTCAGTTTTTATTTTTATTTATTTCAAAACAAACCCATTAATTAAACACACACACACACACACACACTTATTATAGAAAATCGTGTGAGAAGCTCGATACCGTACGTAGTGTGATGATGAATTTTTTGTAAATTTTAATTTGAGGTTTAATAATTATTCACTGATTCGATACAATCATCATTTTATTATTTCTGTTATTCATCTTTAATCAAGAGAAAATATCGTAAAAATGCAGACTTTCCACTGCGTCGCCAACTATTTTATCATTGGTTAGAGCCGTCTAAACGTGGGAAAATTTCCAGTAACTATTAGCTAACAGCATGCAAGCACAAAGGCGAACAATCTTATTTGCATATTGCATACTTTATAGTATTATTGGCTGGAATTAATTTTAGATCGATAACCTCAATGACCAATATGTAGTACCGTAGGTCTATATAGTGTGTAGTTGCTACATAATTTGCCATTAGGCCTATACAAAAAAAAAAAAAAAGTAACTAATAGAATTATTTTACGTCAACAAAAATATTTCAAGCACATATTTACTTTAGGCATCGTGATTCCAGAACTGAGTATCGAATTCAGCGATAGGCTACTTATTTTTGGTGCCAAAAATAAAATTTTCATTGGACGATATTCGAGGATTCGTTTACTTGGGCTTTATTTGCAGTCTGGGAGTTCGGGGTTCTCTTTTTTTTTGGGGGGGGGGGGAAAAATTTGTAAGAAATGACGAGAGAGCGATTTTAATACAAAATTCCAGATATTATATTACGTATCACTGAAAAGCACGTTCATTGCTCTTTTCAAATATGTAAATTATTTTCTGGCATATCTATTTACTCTGAAAAACAATCAATGTTGGATGGTACTAATATTACCATGAATACGAAGAGGCGGCACCTTGTTGTCCACCAACATGGCGGCGGCCTGTATATAGGTCATGTACGCTCTATACCGGTATATTAAATTATCATATGCATTGCGACCCATTTGTGTCAATTTCTAGATCCCAAATATTAGCGATTTAACTCATTTCAAAATCTGATGATATGGCCCATAAAATTATGCTTTGAAAAGATATATGCCATTGATCAACTATTATTGTTATTACTGGATTATTGGCAAGGATTTTTGTCCATAAATATAGAATATTGGCAAATATAGAATATTGGCGAATATTTCTATCCGTATACTGCTGTTCCATTACATTCTTGTTGTCAACGCCCAACTTCATTCTAGATCTACTTTAATTTCCTTTGATAATGTCAATGCAATAGATTTAAGTTTCAGCGCTACCCTAGAAATGAAAATGGTTGATGTGGTGGTGAAAAACAGACGCTAAACAATAATATTTAAAAGGGCTGATAAGAACAACCGGTGCTTACCACTTTTGTTTTCCGTTTCCAATCCAACTCCACAGCTTGCGTAATGTGTAGGCTTGCTCGACCAGTCGTAATTTCCAACCGGAAATCAACGGCTATGCGTCCGTTTGGCAAACGGATTGCTTCAACTTTGGAACCTTCCTTTTATTCGATAAATTATAATATTATATCTAAAATCGAAATATTTTAAATGGCGCTTTATTCAGACCTTTAGAAAGCCAGTATATCGCTCGGTTTTAGAAAGCCAGTGACTATTTCTAAAGTGACGGACATTGCTGATCACGGTCAACTGTTTATCACTCGGAATTGCCTCGACAAATAACCCAATACGTTTAGTCTCGATCTTTTTGTCTCTCAAATCGATAGATATCACTTGGTTAAAATTCTGGATTTACTGGAAATAAAAACGAGACGAACTTTTATAATTATACTGAAAAGCCGCTGTTTTAGTCTAATTAAACCAATCTGAGAGGTTTCCCCTTGACAGTGGTGCAGGATGGAGGGCCTGACAAGGACAGCTGTTATAGTTGTTCGAATGGGATGGAAAACTGAATTATCATGTAAAGACCCCTTGACAGTTGAAATGAAATGAAATGAAATGGGGTTTAACGTCCTACTTTTCTGCTCCTAACCTGGGCTAATGAAGACGGGCATACGCCATACAGTGTGCTATGAGGGAAATTTTGCCCGGGCAGCGGCGCTACGGCCTACTCTTATATCGAATTCCAACTGCCAAGGGATCTTTTACGTGCACGCCAATGTGTACACGGGACCTCGGTTTTTCGTCCCATCCGAACGACTAGACAGCTTTCCTTGTCAGCCCCTCCGTCCTGCCTTGACAGTTGAAATTCAATATAATAATTTAAGAGTAGGCCGTAGTGCCGCTGTACAGACAAAATGTCACTCATCATAGCACACTGCATACGTCCGTCTACATTTGCCCTGTAAGGTGTTAAACCCAATTTTATTTCATTTCACTTGATCCCATCAAGTTTTAAAACTGGACTGACTGATTAACAAATTCTTTGGCTAAATATATATATGTAGCTAAATAGTTTATTGCTAAATATGTACTTTGCTAAGAGTTACAGTTTTCTTAATTGTAGCCTACAGTTCATGCAGCCTGACTTCATATTTTTATGCTGACCCCAGATTTGATTTGAGATGCAGATGCCATTTAGATTTGAATTTTTTTTTTCTAATAGTTGTTATGAGTATAACTTAAACTTCAAGAGAGCTATGGTGGCAAAATGGGTAAGATGCTGGCTCACTATAGTCTGGAGGCCATGTGTTTGATCCCTGTATTGGCCGAGAAAGTTCATTGGGATTGTTCCTCATTGTTTCCCCTTGTCAGTGGTGCAGGACGGAGGGCCTGACAAGGACAGCTGTCTAGTCATTCGAATGGGACAAAAAAACCCAAAGAGGTCCCGTGTACACATTGGCTTGCACGTAAAAGATCCCTTGGCAGTTGGAATTCAGTATAAGAGCAGGCCATAGTGCTGCTGTCTGGGCAAAATTTCCCTCATAGCACACTGTATGGCGCATGCCCTGTCTTCATTAGCCCAGTCGGAGCAGAACAGTAGGACTGTAAACCCCATTTCACTGAATCAACCTGGGTCATATAATTAGATTACAAACGCAGATAGGTCAAGTGTTTCATAAAATATGAAAACAAACATATAAATGATGTGGTTTCAGTAAAACCCTAAGAAAAACGAACCAAGCTACCAGGCATAGATTCCAGTCAAAACTTTGACATCGCAGGTGCTTATCGACTATAAGCACATTGTGATGAAGAACTCCACACAGGAAAAATTTCAATCAAGTTAATAGTGGAATAAATATTTATATCTTTAATTACATGTACCGGTACTCATAAATAATTTAATGTTTCTAGTAACTTATATGAACCAGTCAAGTTCGAGTAAATTATATAAACCAGTCAAGTCTGAGTAAAATTACATAAACTAGTCAAGTCTGAGTAAATTATATAAACCAGTCAAGTCTGAGTAAATTACATAAACCAGTCAAGTCTGAGTAAATTATATAAACCAGTTAAGTCTGAGTAAAATTACATAAACTAGTCAAGTCTGAGTAAATTACATAGGCCAAATCAGTTAAGTCTGCATAAATTACATAAATCTAATTCTTGGTTTCTTATCATAAAAATCATTCTGAAAATGGCCATGAATAACTACATTTCTTATAAATCATCTTAAATAAAATGTTAAACCATCAATGAAAAAGCTGATCTCAATACAAAACAATACACATTTTAAATTCAAAACAATTAAATAAAATTTGATTAAAAGCTAAAATAGTTTGAGATGTCTGAAATATTTATAAAACTAACAAAGAAATTAACAATTATAAATAGTTGTAAAGGTAGGAATATTATAAAGAATTTGTCTAACACTGCCAGTCAAATTACTGGTATATTTTACTTCAGATAAAATTTACAAATATGAATAAAGAAATATACAATAATCCAAGAGCAAAAACCTAAACAATCAAGAAATGACAATGGAATTAAATAGCCATACATAATTTCATTGGGCAAATAAAACAGAGTCCGTGGACATCACATATATTTTCTAAAATATTAATTATAAAATTAATACATAACTCTCTTTAGTGTTCAGAGCTGTGGTGGATCAGTGAGTAAGATGTGGCGCGCTAACCCAGAGGTCCTGGTTTTGATGCTGGTATTGGTTTAGATTAGATTTCAGTGGCGAAGGACAGAGGTCCTGGCAAGGAACATCATTTAGTTCTAGTCATTTGAATTGGACGAAAAAGATCTTTTTAGTTGAATGACGTAAAGTATTCAAATAGTATAATCAATATGCAGTACGACCATTACAATCTATGACAGACCATTACTATCAATGACATGAATTCCAGCGTGCTACCCAGTGGCAAATAATCCCATCATTTACCCCAATAATAACAAGTAAAAAATATAATCTTTCAGTTCACATTCAGTAAAGTTTTTATCAATTCCATATCTTGTATTACTTCTTAAGCTGCATTCCAGTCGCTGTCGCCTTTACCCATGTGGTTTCCTTCCACTGCTAAAGATCCCTGTGCAAGTGAATTATTGAAATAAAATTGAACCATATGTTAGTCCCAAATGACCTAGTTTGTGTCGTGTTGACATTTAAACCTTGCCCCTCTCTCTCTCTTTACCCATGTCTAGTCATTCAGATGGGACAAAAAACTAGAGTAGATGAAAAAACTGCTGGCTCGACAATAACCACAGAAGCAAAATTACTTTATGTTAGTCTCAAAATGAACAAAGTTTTATGTCAACGAGACATTTTACCCCAGCCCCCATTCCATTCCTCTTTCACATTAAAAATTATAATACAAAATCACTTCCTTCATTAATTACAAAACGATTATCAGTTAAATCATCAAGGAACCAATAAATCATCACAATAACATTATCAATATCTTCAATCACAAATGGAACCTGGCCATTATTTATTGTCAAATCAATAGAAAACTCTGGTCCTTCCGATTAACCAGTTCAATTATCAATTATTTATCCAATGTAGGTCAATAGAAATCATCAGTATATTGATCTATCAATCAATTATCAATCAATAATTATCAATCAATAATTATCAATCAATACTTATCAATCAATAATTATCAATCAATAATTATCAATCAAGAGTTATCAATCAATAATTATCAATCAATAATTATCAATCAATAATTATCAATCAATTATCTAATGGGATATAGTTCTTCAACACATCATCATCAGGTAACACCTGGTTTATAATGGACCCAGGCTTATTAGCTCCCTCACTCTTTTTAAGTCCGCCCATACATACATATTTAACCTCTAAATATTCCTCGATTCCATATTTACTACCCTCTCTTCCCAAACCAGATTCCTTCCAACCGCCAAAACATGCCTCCACAGTGGACATTAGAGTTTCGTTTACTCCAACTATGCCATATTCTAATTGTTCAGCCATTCGCCAGACTTGACTTATATTTTCTGAGTAAAAATATCCTGAAATTAAAATGTTATGGTAAAATTTAGACCTTCAACACAATAGACATTTAATGAATATTTGTGATTCGTGATAGCAAAATAATAATAATAAAAACTTTTTTAATGAGGCAACTTATTTAGTTTGCAAAAAAGACCCAAATCTTCCATAAGTCCCTCCTAAGCTACAAAGACATATATACATGTAATATCAGGATAAATTCAAAATCATTTGAAATGCAATAGCATTTTAAAGTGAGAAGTTTGGGTTAGTAAGTCACTCGTAAACTACAAAACATATACCAGTAAAATATAGGAAGAACATTATAATTACACACAAAATAAGATAGAATATAGTACCTGCTAAACCTGAGGTAGTGGTATTTGCTATAGCTATTGCTTCTTCTTCAGTTTCAAATCTTAAAAATATAACAAAAAAATATATAAAATATCTAGATATTATCTGAATTTGTTTGTTTTATAGCCTTCTTTGTCTAGTCAAGGAAGGTTAGCGTAAAAAAAGGCATGGAGAGTGAGCGTATAATATTTAATAATATTTTAATGAAATTGGGTTTAAAGTCCTACTTTTCTGCATAAAAAAGTTAAGAAAAGTGGGCATGTAAGGTTGGTGTTTAATAATATAGTTAATGAGGGTGGCCGTATATATAATTAAGGCAGGTGGGGTCACAGGCACTTGAAGGGATTAAAATAAAACTTCTTACTACTCTTTGACTATATATTACAGTAATAAGAAGGTGTATCAGCTGACATTTTGTTTTGACTTGTTGACGACATTTCGTCTGCTATCATCTCACAATACTCACTAGTTCTAACACTTCCCGTCGTTTTTATTGCCAACGAAACTTTATTTGATCATTATATATCATTATATATGTAATTAAATTGGTCATTTTACAGCGTTATTAATTACAAATCAAACTTGAAGCGTGATCACTTGGCTATTCGTTGGCAATAAAAACGATGGGAAGTGTTAGAACTAGTGAGTATTTTGAGATGATAGCAGACGAAATGTCGTCAACAAGTCAAAGAGTAGTAAGAAGTTTTATTTTAATCCCCTCAAGGGCCTGTGGGTGGGGTGGGCGTATAAAAAGTCCAGGAGTGTGGTTGACTGGGTGCATAAAATGTGAAGAAGGAAATCGGACGTGTAGAAAGTCCAGGAAGGTGTGGGAAATACATTGACACCATTATAAAATATTTATTGAACTTACTTCATTATAGGCGCTACTGGTCCAAATATTTCTTCTTGAACACATCTCATGTCATTAGTAACATCTGATATTACTGTAGCTTGATAAAAATGGCTACCTTGATCAGACGGCTCTCCTCCCGTTGTTATTGTGGCGCCTTTACTTTTAGCATCCTCTACTAATGACTTCACCTTTTAACAACAAACAAATTTCATAAACAAGACAACATCTTTATTTTATTTCCTATACCTCAAGATAAATCTAATAAAGCCTAATCGAAAACGTTACTTATTAAAAAGTAATTATATTCCATAGAATTATGATCTGTGTATATCTAGTTTAATTACTAAATGCCAATGCATAGTGATGCCAGAATTGTTAAAAACCTGTGTTGTTGGTGTTACAATATCACACATACATAGGGGGCTTTCATGTGGGAGGAAACTACAGTAAACCCACATGGTTCAGAAGGCACCCCATCTCCAAGCCATTCACTCCAGGTGATCGAAACCACGACCGCAAGTCAGAAGTGACCGGAGAGCTAGAGCTCGAAGCGTGACACGCTAGACCACTAGGCCATCCCAACCTCTTGTTGCGATATCACCATCGGTGAAAGTGGACGTTACAGTAGCTAAGTCTCTAACTCAATATCATCTAAAATCTTCGACATTGAAAACACGATTTATTTGTCGGTTTAAATCAACATTGATGTTGTGATCTTACCGAGAAAAGATGGCACTCTGATATCCAATATTTACGACAAAATAAACATTTTACAATTGATACACGAATCGTGTACCATAATGCGTTTCAGCGCTATTTGTAATAAGGGACTCGAAAAACGAGGCTAGGCATATTCCACAAGTCATGTCAAACGGTGACGCTATATTCTTATCTTGAGAGCTTATCTGGAGAGCATGCCCAATAAATACTATCGGCGTAGACTGGAATAACCAGAAGCTAGAGATTAAAATTCGATTGAGAATACTGGCGTATGTCGCCGAACCTAACTGATTAGAAATTACTGTAAAAACAGAAACGATTGAATGTAAATCAATTTATACATTCACATTACATTATTATGTGCGTTGCGACCCATTTGTGTCAATTTCTAGGTCCCAAATATTAGTGACTTAGCTCCTTTAAACATTAACAGAAGAAGAAGTTACCTTAGCAACAGCTCTTGTGTTTATTAATGGACCTAGTGTTGTTTCCTCATCTAGACCATCACCAACAACCATTTCTTCTTTAACCTTTTCTGTTAATTTTTCAACATATTCATCATATACACCAGATTGTACCAATACACGATTAGGACAAACACATGTCTGAAACATAATAAAAGTAAATAGTAAGTACAGGATGACCACACCACACATAAAACAATTACACAAGACAAACCTATGGACAGGACACAATATACACAGACACATCAAAACCACAAAACAAAGATCAAGTGAATGGAATTGGCTATCGGCAGCTAGCCGTAAGCATCCATAGTGCTTCAAACAGACATGTTTTTTTTCTATTCAACTGGATTCAGGTCTTCTTATCACCAGAGCTCCAACTTATTATGTTTTCCGGCGTGGTTCCCCCTTGTCAGTGATGCAGGACGGAGGGCCTGACAAGGACGGCTGTCTAGTCATTCGGATGAGACGAAAAACCGAGGTCCCGTGTACACATTGGCGTGCACGTAAAAGATCCCTTGACAGTTGGAATTCGATATAAGAGTAGGCCGTAGTGCCGCTGTCCGGGCAAAATTACCCTCATAGCACACTGTATGGCGTATGCCCGTCTTCATTAGCCCAGTTCGGAGCAAAACAGTAGGACGTTAAACCCTATTTCATTCATTCATTCATTCCAACTTATTATGGCAGAATGAAACAGAAATATCCAGGATTGTGCTGCTAGTTTACTCTGATGACAATTGTACCAAGTGGCTCAGCTAGAGTTTGCATCCCCTGTGGTCGATCCTTATGTTTGTGTTTGCCCCCCCCCCCCACGCCGGTTTGCTACTGCTTGTATTGCTCATTTTAGTTTTATCATACTATTGACTATGAGATAGGGTGTGTTTTTACAAATATGTTTAATTTTTAGTTTTACAATAGTGTACCTTGATATATTTTGTCATGGCGAGATACAGACCTCATACAGTACAATTAATCACGACGCGATACAGACCTGATATAATACGATTTATCATGGCAAGATACAGACCTGGTATGGTACAATATATCACGATGAGATACAGGCCTGGTATGGTACAATTAATCACAATGAGATACAGGCCTGGTATGGTACAATTAATCATGATGAGATACAGGCCTGGTATGGTACAATTTATCATGACGTGATACAGGCCTGGTATGGTACAATTAATCATGGTAAGATACAGACCTGGTAAAGAACTCTTTATCAAAGAAAAGTGTAAACAGGCCTTACATGAAAAGGTACAACAAACGTTTGCTAGCTGCGTAAGATCGGGGGTGGGGGGATTGGTTAGCATGTGCGCGCTGTATCGTAAGGTCTGTCATCGAGTCAACTGGCATGGTTTCGATTCCCCAGTTATACGTGACAAGGAGTAGGGTCGTCTGTCCAACCTCGTGAGTTTTCTCCGGGTCCTCTGGTTTCCTCCCACTGCTAAAGTGTATACATATTGTTGCAATAAAATTGAACCATGTGTTAGTCATGAAATGACCTAGTATTTTGTCGAGTGGACGTTAAACCCCATTTCTCTCTAGATCTTCATGCATACAATGTACTAACCTGGCCACCACATCTAAATTTGGCTCCCATTGTACCTTTAATAGCTAAATCAACATTAGCACTGTCAAAAATAATTAATGGTGCATTTCCTCCTAATTCCATTGATGTTTTCTTCATCGATGAAGCACATTGTTTTTGAAGAATCTATATCAATAATAAAATATCATTTATAATGCGCTAAAATTAAAATTTGGAACTAAAAACTTTTGAACAATACAACCAAGTACTTTTAGATTTTAAATAAGTTTTTTTCCCAAAGAAATATGAAGGACAATTTTTCCAAGTCTTCCTGAAGAACAGAATATCAAATTGGTATGGCCTAATTATACTAAAATGTATATCTCATTATACTATATCTCATTATACTATATCTAATTATACTATATCTCATTATACTATATCTCATTATACTATATCTAATCATACTATATCTCATTATACTATATCTCATTATACTATATCTCATTACTCATTATACTATATTCCAACCTCGTGGGTTTTCTCCGGGTCCTCCGGTTTCCTCCCACTGCTAAAGACCCCTATGCGCAAGCGAATTATTGAAATAAAATTATATCATATGTTAGTCCCAAAATGACCTAGTTTGTGTCGAGTGGACGTTAAACCCCATTTCTCTCTCTCTCTCTATTATACTATATCTCATTATACTATATCTCATTATACTACATCTCATTATACTATGTCTCATTATACTATATCTAATTATACTATATCTAATCATTCGATATCTCATTATACTATATCTCATTATCATTATACTATATCTCATTATACTATATCTCATTATACTATATATAATTATACTATATCTCATTATACTACATCTCATTATACTATATCTAATTATACTATATATCATTATACTACATCTCATTATACTATATCTCATTATACCATATCTTATTATACTATATCTCATTATACTATATCTCATTATACTATATCTCATTATACTATATATAATTATACTATATCTCATTATACTACATCTCATTATACTATATCTAATTATACTATATATCATTATACTATATCTCATTATACTATATCTCATTATACCATATCTTATTATACTATATCTCATTATGTATATATTATCCTGGCCTGCACCAGGCCTGTCAATCAGCAAGTTAATATACATATATATATCTGGTATAATTATCAATATATCTGGAGATATTTTGTTATGGTGAGGCTACATCATCATCACAATTCCATTATGTCTGTACTATTATTAAGCTTCTGTGGCTGTTCATACTTACTTTTCCTACTGCTGTGGATCCTGTGAAAGATATAATTGACACCAATGGACTTTCACACAAGATCTTTCCTATTGGTCCAGCATGGTCTCTTGATGATGTCACAACATTCAAGACTCCTGGAGGTATACCAGCTTCTTCTGCCAGCTGTCATAATAACAAAAATACATCCATTAAGTATTATACAAATGAAATTAAATGGGGATTAACTTTTCGGCATCAAGTCCACAGTGTTATTTCTATTACAGTTTGTAATAATATTTAAACAAGTGTGTTTTTTAACTCCGATTTAAATTTAACAATATTTAACTTTCTCTAATTGTTCTTGGTAGCTTATTCCACAGACATTATGCCAGAGCTAAATCTGCCTATTGCAGGTAATTCTTTAGGCCTGAAAAATTATCTAAATTAATACAGTAGTTAAATATTAATTAACTTATCCAGACCAAAATAAATAAAATTCAATCCCTAATATCTCAGATCAGAGTAGAGCAATTTGACTGAAATTTTCAGCATATTCTCTTTAGGTTATCTATTTGTTAACTATTATAGCCATAACTGCTCATAATGCCTCTTTAAGAATAGTGTTTTATTTACATGATGGTGAGGAAGGCCTAGATCTGGGTCTGAGAATAGAGAGAGAGAGAGCGAAATGGGGTTTAACGTCCACTCGACACAACTAGGTCATTTTGGGACTAACATATGGTTTAATTTTATTTCAATAATTCGCTTGCCCGCTTGCGCATAGGGGTCTTTAGCAGTGGGAGGAAACCGGAGGACCCGGAGAAAACCCACGAGGTTGGACAGGTGACCCTACGCCTTGTCACGTACAACCGTGGATTGGAAACCACGCCAGTTGACTCAATGACAGACCGTATGATATAGAACGCACGTGCTAATATTATCTAAGATTAAATTAGAATTGTCACCATATTAAAATTCCCATACAATAAATAAAATCGCTCTACTCTCTACTACAATACAGTGCACACGTGCTAACCATTCGGCCATCTAATCCCCCACTCGCAATTGGTAGAACAGTCTGATTCTTCCCATTATATCCGAATCACGCAACGGGGATGAACTTTGTCTTGACAGTTATTTGGTAACTCATACAAGCCGGTAAGGCTGGGGTTTTGTATCACGCTGAAAAACATTTTCTATCCCTTATTCCCCTCTGTTTTTTATTAGAGAAAGTCACAAGTACGGGTGTCATAGAGGATCATAATGTATGCTTGACAATTCGCTCTCCGTAGGTTCTATTTTCTTCCATGGTCTACTAAACTTAGTTATTTTGTTGAATTTGGGAAACATATTGGCGTTTCGTTCGGTCATGGCACATTTTGTCATTCATATATGAATTCGGCGAACCCAAAAACCTATGCATGTAGTTTAATACATTACTAACAACAATATGGCCACCATTTTGAATATGAGCTCAACCTGGAATACTTTTTGGTCGGAACATACAACCGGGGATTCGAAACCACGCCAGTCGACTCAATGACAGACTTTATGATACAGCGCGCGCACGCGGCGCACGCTAACCATTCAGGCATCCAACCCCCCCCCATCTGATGAAAGACCTTGGTCTGAGAACAGAGAGTTCTATTTACCTGACAGAGTGCTAGAGCTGAGAACGGAGTATCTTCTGATGGCCTCAATACAACAGTACAACCAGCTGCTATTGCTGCTGCAGCTTTACGAGTTATCATAGCATTAGGAAAATTCCACTGAAAGAAATAAGAGTGTTGCACAGCATCTAAAATCTTAAAACAGAAGAAGTCTGACCTTGTTTTCATTTTTCAGTTTCAATGAAGATCAAATTAAGTTACCATATTTTCATGCACTGGGATGAGGGTGGTATTGCATCCAGTGACTCTAAAGACCTAGTTAAAGATGCAATCCACCAGAAGTACAATCATTATTTCTGTATTTAAATTAACCAAAAATGTGTCCAGTGAGAAGAAACTGGAGAAACCGGAGAAACCTCACAAGGTTGGACAGACAACCCTACTCCATGTCATGTACAAGCTGGGAATCTCAACCTTGCCCCTTGACTCAATGCCAGACCTTATGATTTAAAGCAAGGAATAAAACCAATCCGTCAAAAAATCCCCACAAAATAAAATCTGGACTTACTGGTGTAATCATTCCAGCTACACCTATTGGTTGTTTCATCAACAATATACGTTTAGAAGGATCGGGAGACGATACAATATCACCATATATTCTCCTCGCTTCCTCTGAATACCAAGCAATAAAATCATTCCCATAATTCACTTCATTTCTAGCGTCAGATAAAGGTTTGCCCTTGAAAATACAAGATTAAGTGTACTTATAAAAGATACTCAAACAGGTTTTTTTTTATTTACCATAGGTGATTTTAAAACTATATGACTTTTTAATTTCATTTATATGTTTAGATATGGTTTCTGCTTTTAGACAGAGGTATCGTCAACCTAATACTAATAGATATTAGACATGTTCCTTCAAGCATAAATTAAATCCAGATATTCCACTTATAAGATAAAATAGATTCGAAAGTCACAATAAATATATAATTCATCTATTTTTAATAAAATACAATAAATCGGAATGAAATGTACTTAAAAGATGAATTATGCAAGAGTTAAACATACATTATGCAAGAGCAAAATCTGATTATTGCAAGTCTTAATTTAGGCTTCAGATGTTATAGAAATTATAAATTAGATCTTTATTTAAACAACAAGCCCAAAATCAACTCTGTAGACCCACAGATGGCTCGGCTACAGCTCGGATTTAAATAGGATTTCACTTATTGATAAATTCAAATATGGCGCACCCTAGTGAGAATACGTCAGTTAGATCGAGGCTAAATTATAGGGTGTACTTAGCGAGGCCGCTGTAGAGCGTTTCCGCATGCCATTGAAAACTTTACTTGATAATCGAGATATGTAGGTGGAGTTAACGCCTGTCAATCAAACATTCGGCCAAGGTGAAGGCACATTTCGCTACCATTTCTAGTCAAATATTACAACGATGATAACTATGTTCAGAATAAAGTAATTTGACTGAAATTTTCAATATATTCTTCTTTCATCATCTACTTTTGAACTGTTATAGCAAGAATGGCCAACTCTCTATAAAAATCTCCCATAATGTATCTTTAAATTTGCCTATATTGTTATCTAAATTATTAATTAGACATTTATTCACGAGAGAAGCTCGAGTGTAAACAATACATTTGCAGCAAAGGGAAATAGGCCTTAAGATATATCTTACATTTTCAATGGTAATTATTTTAGCCAGGTCGTCCTTATGCTTGACACATAAATTATACCAGTTTCTTAAAATTCGACTTCGTTCCTGAAACAATACAATTAATATATTATATTCCAGTTTCTTACAATACAACTTTGTTTCCAAAACACAAACAATATATTAAATGATAGCAATCTGAAATTCTCCAATCATTTATAGTCAATATGGGAGCCACGATGGCTAAGTGGGTTAGACGCTGGCTTGCTAGCCTGGAGGTCGAGTGTTCGATCAATGCATTGGTCGAGAAAGTTCATCTAGATTTTCCAGCGTGGGTCCCCCTTGTCAGTGATGCAGGACGGATGGCCTGACAAGGACAGCTGTCTAGTTGTTCGAATGGTACGAAAAACCGAGGTCCTGTGTACACATAGGCGTGCACGTAAAAGATCCCTTGACAGTTCGGGCAAAAATTACCTCATAGCACACTGTATGGAGTATGTCCGTCTTCATTAGCCCTGTTCGGAGCAGAACAGTAGGACGTTAAACCCCATTTCATTTCGTTTCTATAGTCAATAAAATATCTCTTACCAAAAAAAAACCCCAAAAACATTAGGCTATATAGTCAGTCTTCTTATTCAAATTTAACCAAAAATGAGGACTGCAAATAATTTTTTTAGAAAGCAGCCAAGAAGATGAATTAAACATACATTATGCAAGAGCTAAATCTGCCTATTGAAGGTATTTTTTTAGGCCTAAAATGTTATATAAACTGTTCATTAGACATTTATTAACATGACAAGACCATAATCAACTCTTAATGCCATCAGATACCTGTGAATTGTGAAATGAGGCTAAGCTTCGAACCAGTATGGTGGTTGAAATTACGGTAATGGAGCAATTTGAATGAAATTTTCAATACATTCATTTTTTATTACCTATTTTCGAACTATTATAGTAAGAATGGCCAGCTCTTTATTGAAATCTTACATAATGTAGCTTTAATAAAGAGAGAGAAAGAGAGATGGGGTTTAACGTCCACTCGACACAAACTAGGCCATTTCGGGACTAACATATGGTTTAAATTTTATTTCAATAATTTGCTTGCGCGTAGGGGTCTTTAGCAGTGGGAGGAAACCAGAGAACCCGGAGCAAACCCACGAGGTTGGACAGGCGACCCTACTCCTTCTCACGTACAACCAGGGATTCAAGTATCTTTAATAAAGAGACCTAGGATGGGTAAATGAGTTAGACACTGACTAGTTCTTTTAGGAATGGTCTTTGATAAGAGTCCTTCTTCTGACTGTTCCTGGGGGCTTGGGTGGCCGAATGGTTAACATGTGCGCACTGTATCATTAAGGTCTGTCCTTGAGTCATGTGGTATGGTTTTGATTCCCTGGTTGTACGTGACAAGGAGTAGGGTCGCCTGTCCAACCTCATGGATTTGCTCCGGGTCCTCTGGTTTCCTTCCACTGCTAAAGACCCCTACGCGCAAACAAATTATTGAAATAAAATTTAACCATGTGTTAGTCCCGAAATGACATAGTTTGTGTCGAGTGGACGTCAAACCCCACATCTCTTTCTCTCTCTCGGTTCATCAATATTGAAATGAAATATGAAAATACTGCTCTACCCCCACCTCTTTTTTTTTCGCCAAAACGCAATGGGGAGTGTCATAATATCAATTAAATTAAAACGTACATTGTTTATGTTTTGAATCGCAGCGGACATCAAACCACATTTCTCTCTCTCACAGACACAGTTCAAAGTATTGAATACTAGTTCGATCTTTAGGATGGACTGCAAAGTGAACTTTTTTCGTATCATAATAGTCATCATAATAGTTTACCTTAGCAGTGACATCTCTCCACGTATAGAATGTTTTATAAGCTGTCTCTATGGCCGACTGAACATCTGTTTCTCTCATATCAGGAACCTCTCCAATTAATTTCTGAGTTGACGGATTGTACACTGTTAAATAATAATGAATATGGAATCATTTTGCGTCGAGATCGCATCCACAATTCTGGTGCTTGAAAACATATTCAAATATTTGCATTTAAATGGATTTTCAAAGCTGTTTGAACAGATATATTTGTATTTGTTGTTCGATTTTAAAACAATGACACCATACAGTGATAATTATACAGACCTTCAAATGTGTTTCCTGACTCGGAATCCACCCACTCGCCATTAATATAGGCATTATTTCTTATAAGAGAGCTAGAAAACCGAACATTGCTTGCTGCCATCTTTTCGGACATGAAACCAATTTTCAACACATCTCGTTTTCTATAAACACTTCTACAGAAACCTGAAAAGAGAGAAAGAGAGAGAAAATGGGGTTCAACGTCCACTCGACACAAACTAGGTCATTTCAGGAATAACATATATTTCAATTTTATTTCAATCAATTGCTTGCGCATTAGGGGTCTTTAGCAGTGGGAGGAAACTGGAGAACCTGGAGAAAACTCACGATGTTGGACAGACGACCCTATTACTTGTCATGTACAAGCAAGGAATCGAAACCACTCCAGTTGACTCAATGACAGACCTTATGATGCAACACACACGTTAACCATTTGGCCAGCCAACCCCCCAAATCTGAAATAAAACCCATCCACATCCTCAGTAGATTAAATTACAGTAGCTAAGGCCACACGAATTAGATTTTCTGTTCTTCTGGAGCACCTGTAAAATTTTTTCCTTCGTATTAATATGGGAAAAAATTTTTTTTTTTTCAAAATCCAAAAGCTGTTGGTTGTGCTGTTCAAAAGCATATAGTTCCAAATTTGTAAGTTTTGAAATTTTAAACAAAACATGTCAATCTGTTTCACAGATGATTACGAAAGTCTTCTATGTCTCATCACGCGGCGTCAATCATTGGCTCAATGGCACGTGCATTGTTTACATAAGACGCTACTGTTTCGGGCAGAATGGAGTTTTTTACTCATTTTAATATATATTTACACTAAAATAATAGAAAATAATTTTTACCTACAAATATGTCAAATGTCTTTAGTTATTTTTCTAATACATAAAAAAAACGTTTTAGAATTTAATTTGTCCGAGGAAAAAAATTAATATTTGTGGCTCATTGAGTTGCATCGATGTCATCCTTATCAGTGATTGTAGCGGCCTAGCGAATATTCACTGCTGATCAGTGAAAATATGTTTCTCATGATTCTTGTGGAAATATATTGATCAAGACCCCTCCAAAACAGAAAATCAAATTGGTGTGACCAAAGTCTATAACTCAGTGTTATCCATGATTTTCGACATTTAAATATGGGCTCTTGAAATCCAATATTTAGGAGACAATCAAATGGACATTCTAAAATCAGTGTATTACATCGTTTTCTCTATGGTCTTGATAAATGAAATTAGAAACCTATGAGTGGCGAGATTTCTAATTTTATTATACTTACTGCGGAGTAACCTTACCAGCTAAGAATTTCATAACTCAGGTCACCTCAAACCGAACCCAGAGTCAAACATTACCTAGGGAGAAGTTGACCCTTTACCGAAACGATAGATTTTACGTTCGGAACATTACCGGAGCATATCTGCCGATCAGAAAGCAAGCGTTTGTTCTGCCTTCAGCCATTACACCGGAGTATAAACTACATGTACTCCATAAATTGAACAACAAATTTATACCATTATACCGGAGTCAAAATTCTCCGGAAATTGAACAGAAAATTTAAGACGATTTTGATTCCATGTAGATCACCATAATCGTATAGACCGAAAAGTTATTATGGCCCTTTTACGCCTTATAAAAATATGAGCACTCAAAGCCAAGTGAAAATTATTTTTACCTCACCAAAATGAAATTTAATCATTTATATAACGGTTTATGACCCAACCATTGTTCCATTTAGCAAGCCCTCCCAAGAGAAATGGCATCTATTATCCTACTCGGAAATAGCCCATGCCGTAGCCTACATCCTCCAAAAAAGCCAATCAAATCATTCAGAAGGCTGATATGTAGGTAGAAATGTTACGATACAAATAACTGGGCTTTCAATAACTGATCCCTGAGACATAAATGATATGTCATGTTGCAGGATATTCTTTGAACCATTTTTAATCGAAATGGATTCACATTTAAGAACTTTTGCATCGGACGGCTATACAATTTTATAAGATTTAGTCCCGACGGGTCCCCATATTCTTTATATTTATATCTTGATAAATGAAGCAAATCAATAATAGGCCTGGTGTAGACTTGATCAAACAGGTACAAATGACTGCCATTCAATTTGAACTTCAATGAAGTTTTTTTAAAAATAGCTCCGCCATGTTTGTCTTTGTTCATTACAAATGGCACCCGAGACCACAGAGTACGCAATTCGTGTACTGATTTTAAATGTTTATTGTGTCTTAAATATTGGATATTAGGATCCCATATTTTCATGGCAAGATCACAGCATCAATATTGATTGAAATGGACCAATATTGAATTCCAATTCGTGTTTTTAATTTCAAATATTATGAACAATATAAAGTTAGAGATTTATCTCCTTTAATTAAAATTATAATATAGAATTGAGATGTGTTATTGGCATTAGTGATGGGGGCAAGTGCTATTCAGCTGGAGGTTGGATTGTAATGTTAGTGGATCTGATTCTGATATCTAGCAGATAAATCAATGATGAAACTTCATCTAAGTTAAGGATATTGGCTATGCAGCTTGATAGCAGTTCCTGATATTAGTGGCCTACACTTGGAACTGTCAATTGATATTTTGTCTCTTCTACAATGTTTATTACACCCAAGGGAATACCAGTTTGAATAGTCAGGGATTTAGTTCGCCTACTTGTATCTGGTATAAGATAATAATATACAATACTGTCAGTGCTGAAGCCTATAGGAGAGAGAGAGAGAGAGAGAAAAGTGAGGTTTAACGTCCACTTGACACAAACTAGGTCATTTCTGGACTACCATATGGTTTAATTTTATTTCAATAATTTGCCTGCGCGTAGGAGTCTTAAGCAGTGGTAGGAAACCAGAGGGCCCGGAGAAAACCCACGAGGTTGGACAGGCGACCCTACTCCTTGTCACATACAACCTGGGAATCGAAACCACGCCAGTTGACTCAATGACGGGTCTTATGATACAGCACGCACGTGCTAACGATTCAGCCATCCAACTCCCCGAAGCCTATACGTTGGGGACCTGAAGCAAAGGTATTAATACACACTTTAATCATTGTCATATCATCCTTAATTGGCTTTGCTCAATTGTGTTTAAAACACACTTTATATATCTGCTTGTCGTGAGGATGGGGGAGCAGCCTCATAAGTGGAATAGCAACGGTGGTTAAGTGGGTATGACACTCTGGCTCGCTAGCCTGGAGGTCACATGTTCGATCCCTGCATTGGCCAATTAAAAAAGCTCATCAGGATTTTCTGACGTGGTTTCTCCTTGTCAGTTGTGCAGGAAGGAGGGCCTGACAAGGACAGCTGTATAGTCATTCGGAAGGGACAAAAATAAAAATGAGGTCTCGTGTATACATTGGCTTGCACGTAAAAGATGCCTTGGCAGTTGGAATTAAGAGTAGGCCATAGTGTCACTGCCTGGGCAAAATTTCCCTCATAACACACTGTATGTGATATGCCCGTCTTCATTAGTCCAGTCGGAGCAGAACAGTAGGACGTTAAAGTCTATTTCATTTCCATTTCATTTATCTTTGTCTAATCTGGCCCTGATAACTACTGGTAAATAAATTAAAAAATTTGTTGTTAATAAATCAAATTAGAATGAAAATGGAATTAATTTCCTCTCACACAGCACTGTATTAGAGCACTTTGATTTTGAGTGAAGTTTGTATTACTAGCCTACAGGCCCCGTACTATATTATATTGTGCAGTGGACGATTCCTTACGACTAGCCCCTGGATCCATTTACTTTAACTCATATGTGGGTTTGTTGTTTGTGATATTGTGTCTTGTCCATATATTTGTCTTGTGTAATTGTTTGTGTGTGGTGCAGTCCCCCTGTACTTACTAATATGGTTCACAATTGATACATAAGCAAGCTATCCAGTATAGATATCATCAGGTGTTACAAATTTGAAATATCATAATATGCAGTCGCCAATATGATATCTCAGTATCACGTCATACGCCTATACCTATAGATCAAAAAAAGAAAGAAAAAGAGTACGGCTATATATTGCCTGAAATCTGCCTGCTATCAGAATCATATCAACAATGGTTATACTTACATGACAGCTGACTAATTCTGTGTAAACCCATATCAAAATAGGCAACAACCTCTTCTACAAGACAGATCTATCCATTCTCTTCTCGATTCAGCTGAGTTTAGTAGGTCAAGTCAAGGGATAAGTTTATAAATTGGAGTTGTCTCCCTTGCCATGTTCATGACCTGCCATACATCACATAATTACCTTACTGTATTAAAAAAAAAAACCTACACTGACCAGCACCGAATTTCAAACGTTAAGCCAACCTGAAGACTTACCCCAGATCACTGGATGTTTGAGAAAGTGCTCAGGGCGTTAGGATTTTTTTTAAGCAGTTTGGGGATGAGAGCCGACGGGGTTGTTCCAGAATTTGAAATACCGAATTTCCTGGACAAGGGAGAGAGAGAAAATAAAATAAAATGAAATGGTGTTTAACGTCCTACTGTTCTGCTCCTAAACTGGGCTAATGAAGACGGGCATACGCCATACAGTGCGTTATGAGGGAAATTTTGCCGGGAAGCGGCGCTACGGCCTACTCTTATATCGAATTCCAACTGCCAAGGAATCTTTTACGTGCACGCCAATATGTACACGGGACCTCGGTGTTTCGTATCAGGCCTTCCGTCCTGCATCACTGACAGGGAGAGAGAGAGAGAGAGAGAGATAGAGAGAGAGATATGGGGTTTAACGTCCACTCGACACAAACTTGGTCATTTCGGGACTAACACATGGTTCAATTTTATTTCAATAATTCGTTTGCGCGTAGGGGTCTTTAGCAGTTGGGGGGAACCGGGGGACTCAGAGGAAAACCCACGAGGTTGGACAGGCGACCCTACTTCTTGTCACGTACAACCGGGGTATCGAAACCACGCCAATTGACTCAATGACAGATCTTATGATACAGCGCACACGTGCTAACCATTCGGCCAGTCAACACCCCTCTTGAACAAGGAAACGAATAAAAGAAAATATTATATCATAGCATCGATAAGAAAGGGGGAAACTTACTTGACCCGATATCATGCTTGTGTAGGGTTACATACATACATTCATTTTAGAAATATTTTAAGTGTATCGGATAGAACAGTATGACCCTCCTTCCAACGGATCGGTGAAATAAAATTATACCATGTCAGTTCGGAATTACTTGTGATGAATGGGCATTATACACGGTCACCCTTAGTTCTCAATTGGTTATTATATAAGTCAAAATAACAAGCATGGTTTAGGGCACCACAGGAATGGTGCACCAGGTACCAATGAATATAAACTTGGATATTCTTATAACAGCTAGTCTTTCACAATACCCCCCCCCCCCCCCGCCCCTACTCATTTGAAAGCCCACCCAACTCCACCATTATTTCAACTCATGTAAAAATAATTCATATCTATATTTGATAATATACTGTTCTTTTAGCCAAATTGGCATTTTTGATTTAAAATCGTAAAGTTTTTGTTTCAAAAATGTCCTTCAAAATGTAATTTCCAAGCAATTGATTTCGTGCAATAGACGAGTTATGTTCCTTGGTTACAACTCCCAAACTTGCTTTGAAATCGCATTTTGACGGGGAATTTTGACACAAAAACGTCACGATTGTAAATTAAAAATGACAATTTCGTATAAAGAACGGGATATCAAATATGTCTTATGTCTTATAAGTTGAAATAACAGTGGTTTTGGGTAGATTTGGGTGAATTTGGGTAAATCGCGTGTCACTGCATTTGAAAGAGTACAAAAAGTTTATTACATGACATACGGTATCAAAATTTAGGAATGGATTATACCTGTGTACACAATGACATGAAAAAAGTAGATCAAAATTTCGTTATTTGCATCTAACCACTATAATAGGACATAGATAGGACATATCTAAATCTTGGATAAAAAAGGTCACATGAACTCCAAATATATACTCTTCAAAAAAAAAGTAGGGGATATTCAGAAACAATACAAAACTGTGGAAATGTACTGCTGTCGTCAAAAGTAAAAATGGACGTTTTTGATTTTTGTCTTAATAATGAGTAATTGCTCTACTAATTCTCAGACATTCAGCCATTCGTCGTGGCATGCTCCTAATCAACAGTCCAATCACGATTTGGGGTAATCTTATAATGGTGATAATATTGTGAATTGTTGGTAATTCGTTCTTTCAATATATCATTCGTTCATTATTCATTCTTTTATTTAAACATTTCTATTTTTCTTATGTTTCTATTAATCCTGCGTTGTTAATTTAATCTCTCCTCTTTAATTGTTATTAGTAACCTTGGTGTATATTGTTAATTCCTAAGATACCATTTTATTATAAATACCGATTTGTACATTGACAAAAGATTCTAGGTTTCATCCCGTTTCCAGGACAGTTACTCTGCTTGTCGGACGTGCTGTTCTCCGTATATGATGTTAAATGTTTTCCGGTAATAAATAGTCTCAAAGATAGTTCCAGTCTTTAGTTATTATCGAAGATTTACACTGTTACAATCTGAACCACTCCTCTTGCAGTGCCACGACCAATTCTTGCAGTGTTGTCGGTTGACGTTGACGTGGACGAACACGTCTCCCGATCAAATTAAACGTAACACACTTAAGCAAAGATACGCTAAACAGTAAATTTTATGCAAAAACTGATATGAAAGCAAACATGGATAGATAAACCAGCACGCGACAGTTTTCAACAACCGTTCATTAAAGTGTCAAATTTGACAATGAACCCCTCCCACGTGTATGGCGCTATTGCGTGTCGCATGTGCATCTCAGTGGTTCTGTTGGGGCGATAAGTTCTTCATCTGTGAACATACTCTCAAAGCATGTCAAGTGTCCATGACTATTTATCATATCACAACTTGCATAGGTATTTGCATTTCAATATCCCCTACTTTTTTTGAACAGTATTATATTAGATCCAAGCCATTGATAATCGAAATTTAGGGTTTCACACTGCGAAGCTTATCGTGAAAAACTTTTGTTTTTGTTCGAATGAATATTATTAGGCTTTCACGCTGTGAGGATTGCGCAAAACCTTATTGTTTTTGTTCGGATTAACCAGTTCTCGGGTTCGCTCCAGTGTTGGCCGAGGAAAGTTCCTCGGAATATTTCAGCGCGGTTTCTCCTTGTCAGTGGTGCGGTCCGGAGGGGCTGGAATTGTTGGGGAGGGGAGGGGGGGGGGCTGGAACCCTGTACGCTTTTAACCCACATCTGTATATCATTGCTAAAATGTTCCTGGGGATACCCGAGACAATAGGATTACTTAACTTTGACGTTCATGCAAATAAAGTTACAAGCCAACAGTGGACGCTGAAGAGTGGTACACGGATCCATTCACTTGCATCGGAATTTGTTGTTTATTTCTTTCAATGTCTATGTAGTTTCTCTTGTCAACAGGTTTGTCTTAACGGCTTTATTTCGCGTATGGTGCGGTTCCAAGGACGGATCCAGAGACCACGGATAGGGGGTGGGGGTCGCACGGGAGGTGAAATCGGACGTTGCTAGTGCCGAAAGCACGAAGCGCTCAACAAGGGTGCAGGTGCCCCTCCCCCCCCGAAAAATTTCTCGAAAACTAGAATGGTTAACGTGTGCGCATTGTATCATAAGGTCTGTCATTGAGTCAAGTGGCGTGGTTTCGATTCCCCGCTTGTACGTGACAAAGAGTAGGGTCGCCTATCCAACCTCGTGGGTTTTCTCCGGGTCCTCCGGTTTCCTCCACAGCTAAAAGACCCCTACGCGCAAGCGAATTAATGAAATAAAATTGAACCTTATATTAGTCCCGAAATGACCAAGTTTGTGTCGAGCGGACGTTAAACCCCATTTCTTCCTCTCTCCTCCACTTTCCCCAGTGTCTACTGTGTGAAATGCTTACATTCTATGACAGTATTCCCTTAAGGCACACTTGCAATATTTCTATTTGAGTTGTTGTTTGTTATCATCAATGCGGATAGAAAAATACCTTTGATAAACGACATAGATGGGCCTGCGGCTTATTTACAATTAAAATCGTTTCAAGAGTTCTATATGGTTAATAAATTTAACTTCCTCTAAATCAGTTCACCACTTTCATAGACAATTGATATCGTTCGCTGTTATCTAAGAATATTGATGTCCATTGTTGTATTTTGATTTAGTATAGTTTAAATGGCGACGTGTTATACTCTCCAATAATTGTCGTTGATTGACTTGAGGCAATATTATTACCCAATATTATTACCCAATGTTCAAGTTCTTTGTTTCTTTATTATCAGTATACATATAACAATAAAGATAACACACGTGTGTACTGATAATTTAAACAATATGAACAATAAATGTACCTTAAGAGGCAGACTTCATCAATCCATCTCGTTTGAATGAATGACATGGTGTTTAACGTTCTATTTGTCTGCACATACCAGTGTGACCGCGTTGTTTTAGGTCTTATTAAAGATACATTATGGGAGATAAGATAAAGAGATGGCAGTTCTCGCTATAATAGTTAAAAACTAGATAGTGTAAAGGTAATTTGCTGAAAATTTCAGTCAAATTGATCCACTATTTGCCGAGAAAGAAGCGGGTGAAATTTTTGCATAGTCTCGGTCATCATTACTAAAATCATTAATATAAACAGCATAGTATCGATTATCCACTTTTTAAAAAATTTAATTATCAATGGCCGTTAGCGGCATATAGGAATCTAATCCAGCCAACATCGAAGGCTAGCCTTGACATCGAGAGTTTATTATGGTAAGGTGACCCACCATAAATAAATATCTCCATATATCTCGACAATTACGCCACAATATTTATATATATGCCAAGCCTCAAATCAGTTTCACACAATTATAATCACTAAATAAACGATCATGTTGTACTTAATAAGCTATGGCCATTAATCATGTATAAATAATAGACCTAAAACTGGTTCCAAGAGTCGGCCATAACATCCAGACACTTTTGAGTAAAAGATAGGTTACGTGCCCTTGTTTTGAAATTAGTCTCGCTTAACCAGTCTATCAACCATTCTACGTCTGATTGACAGGTCGGGATAATCAAGACTACTTTTTTTACGAAACGTAACAGAAAGCTAGAACAAGAAATTGAATTTAGAAATAAGCACGTTAGGTAGCTCAACAATCGTTTTAAGAAGCTTGTAAAAGTAAAATGAAAC